CTTGAATGAACACCCCAATCACGTAGGACCACGCAACCCCGCGGGTCGAACCCTCTTGACTCCCCACCTTTCTTTTGTCCTGCTCATCTACACCCTGCGCTGCCCGCACCTCGCGCTGACAACCCGCCGCCTCCCGCGCTATAAATTCGCGCAACCCTCTCCTCTCCCTCTCTTTGATCTCGGCTGCAATGCTGCGTGAGCTACACGCGAAGTTCGCGGCGCCGAACAGGCTCGACGAGCCCAAGGACGGGCGGAGTGACGACGTGAGGTGGACCCGCGGTAGACTTTGAGCGAAGTAGTCGGAGGGACAGAGCAGTGGTTGAGATTGGACGCCGACAGTGGCAGGGCCTTGTGGCTATGGTGGTCGGTGGTCTTGGGAAGTTTTGAAGGCTGCGCCTGGGGGCGGCAGTCAGTTGGGAATTTTGTGTATACAAGAGGGACTCACTTTCATCTCCATTGCTGCTTTGTCGCGTGCATAAGCGATGTTGAAAGTCTATGGATGATTGGATGTCCTGATTGAGTACCGTGATTGCATACATGGGAGTGTATGTGTGAATGTACTTATCCGGGTGGGGACGGGGGAATTGAACTGGATGACCGTCTGCTTAGGAGTAAGAGTGTGTTAATCCCGTTGTTCCCCTCCCTTCCACGGCCCTTCCTGTGCGCACGCGCAGTCTCGGTGTAAACTCTCTCTCTCTCTCTCTCTCTCTCTCTCTCTCTCTCTCTCTCTCTCTCGCCCTTCTTTGTGAATTGATAGTCGTCGTTGTGAACTTCTCGTCCCCGCACCGGTGATGTCAACCGCCTACGTCCGCGCGCGCGGTTGACGCCCCCGCAACGGGGAAGAAAACTTAGATTTCATCATCTTCTTTCGACGCACCAACCTTGAGAGAGAAGGGTTGCATCGAGTGTTGTATGGAGACGGTGTTGGTACGGATGACCGGGAGCGCGGGGTCTGGCCCGTGTTCATCACCTACCTTTGATCGTCCCATCTCGCTACCGGCCTTTCCCATCGCAGATGACGATGGCGTCTTCTGCGATGCGGCTGTACGGCGCGCTTTAAGACGAACGGAGCAAGTATGTTGGCGAGACCCGCCCCGGGCGTTCAATATAAGGGGAGACGGGTTCGTCTTAATTGATCGCTTTGATTCCCCGACTCTAATATTGCCTTATACGGATTTGACTGTGTTGCCCTGGTCGGCCGCTCACGCCACGTGGCGGCCGCAATTTGATTGTCGCTGGTGTCGCCAGGGGGACTCGTGTTCTTGGCGACGACTGGTCCTGGGTTGCGAGGGAGCGGCACGTTTTCCTGAGCTCTCCCGTAATGCGGGGGCGCTGCCCGCGCAATTTCGAACTCGAGTGTCGGCAAGTTCTCCCGCCGCTTTGCCCTCTCGGGAACTTCCGCGCGGACTTTATGAGTCCGACGTCGAGGCTTGAAGGCCTCAAACCAACCACCTATACAACGAAAACCTGACGGCCAGGTCTCTGGTCCTTAGCCGCCATGGCCTCCTCCCCTGCTGCCCTTTTTCGTTTTGATTCAGTGCGGCAGTTCGTCTTTGCGGGACTATTCGGCTTTTGTTACCCCAGACTGACCCGACCTCCACGGGACTCAGTGGCGAAAGTTCGATTCCGGGATAACCTCTTGTTCGAAACGAGAGTCTCCCGTTCCAACCGGGAGACTCAACCCCCACGGCCAAAAATCCTCGGCCATGCCCCTCCTAGAACTCTGATTGGCGACCCGGTACGGGACGCTGAGAGGGGGCGTGAGGTTGCGCATCACTAGCGCAGTGCGGCGAAGTGCCCTCTCAAACCTTTTTTTTCGATTTCGAGAGTTCGAGAGCGCTCTCGAACTATTTCAACATTTCGGGATAGGTGTGGCGAGGCCCATACTCACACTAGCACTTTCCTCAAATGCAGCTGACCACGAGGGCAGGACGAATCTGACCGCAATCGCGTCCAGAGCTTTGTTTGAACTTTCCTAGTGTACCAACTGGCCTAGCTCAGTACGTACACCCCTGAAATGTTGAGTAAATACAGACCTGAGTTCGAACTTCACAAGAACCAGATGCAATGCTGAATTGCCTGGAGCCCATCTGTTCGATGAGGATATGGGCCTCGCCACACCACTCCCGACTTGGGAAAATTTTCGGGAGTGCTCCCGGAAGTGAAAAGCCGCTCGGGAGTGCCTTCCGCCACACTACACTCTCGACCCGGCCGCGCTCAAAGTCTGAAAACGTCATTTGCCACATATGGACACGATCAGCAGAATCTGGGATGAAGCAGTCTAGCAGAAGTCATTCGTCCCTTCCGGCTCCACTCCTGAATCTGGGATGAAACACGAAGGAGCCAAGGAGGTCTCTCGAAAAAAAAGCTTTGCAGGCGGTGAGTTCGGGAGTGCTCTCGGGAGCCACATTCTGACAGCTCCCGAATTCAATCTGACAGGTTGAACTGGGGAGCTGGTGTGGCTATGTTGCACTCCCGAAAATGGCCAAGTCGGGAGTAGTGTCACGGCGTAGGTCCTCTTTTCAGGGCCTCGCCACACCAATGTCTAAACGGTGAAATTTTTGACATTCACCGTTTCTACACAATGGCCACCAATACGATTTTGGGTAAGCAGTGTGAGCGTGCCCTCAGACCGTTTTCGACATTCACCGTTTCTACACAATGGCCGCCTTCGCCACACCTAAGTTTCGTTTCTAGAAAAGGAGGAAAAACAAACAAAAAAAAGAAGAAGAAGAAGAAAACAACAAAAAAGAAGAAGAAGACACGGGATGTTGAGGAATAGATGTTAAAATCCACACATCCTTCAACACCTTGTCTCCATGATGTGGAAACTGGACCCGCTGCAGGCGGGCCGTTCGACACCCATGTTGAAACCACTTTTCTGACGAGTGTCGAAGATTTTTCGACATTTTTTCTTTGACAGTCTGTGTGTCGAAGAAAAAAAGTCGAAAACTCTAGTTTCGACATTGGTGTGGCGAGGCCCTCAGAGAAAAGAAAAAGAAAAGGTTCTACGGCAGTGTGAGTATGCCCTAATCATGCCCATTTGGCCATATCTGGCCGCAATTTGGACGTTCTTTCAAAGGAATTCGCCAGTGTGTACTGGCGGGAAAGGTCAGCCCTGCCCATCTCGTATTCAAAAAAGGATTGGACCCCAGTGGCCGGCGGCGTGGAACTCATTTTCCATTTCCATGTTTGGTGGACCCCACTGGACCGCCAGGAAGGTGCGCCAATGAGAAATCAGGACCCCACTGCCAATGCCGGACTGTCCTGGAAAAGCGTCTGAAGCGTTTCCACACGGTCGGTGGCTGGAAGAAACTGTCAGACCGTCCGGCGACGGTTTTCCAAAACCGATGTTTTTTGAGGGGGGGGGGGGGGCATCTCCTGTGATGTCGTACCAGCGCACAGGCGAGGTGGTCCAGTCACTTCAAGGCGGACTGTTCGTTCGGACCACGGACCACCGTCGTCCGTCGCACGGTTGGGCTGTGGGACGGGTGTTACCTTCCGCGGGGGTTGTGGTCCCGTGCGCTTCTTTTGTAATGGTTACGAAATTCAAATTGGGCTCGGCTGAGGGACCATTCCATTTGGCAGGGGTTGTGGTCCGTTTCGCAGGCGATGTTCTTCTTCTCGCCATTTGTTTTGTTTTTTGTTTCTCTTTCTGTTGGGAGGCGGGAAATTCAAGTTCAGCGAAACGGGACGACGTCCAGCCATGCAGTGGTGAGGCATGGGGAGTCCGCCAGTCGGCATGACCGCAAACGGAGTTCTGTGGCAGTCCGGGGCAGGCATCGTCGAGTTCATACACGACCCTGCAGTAGCAATATCTGTGGGAGTGCACGTAGCGAGGAGCAGCCGTGAGGCGTGGGTGCGTGGGCGGAGGTCCTTGCGTCAAAGTAGCACGGCGGGTTGTTGCCGACATATTTTTTTCCATGGCACGGGTCAAACTTCGGTGCGTGTATGTCCAGCTCCGTCACGACAGCAGGGACTCCTGTCAACGCGCGTGTGCAGTGCTCATTCCTCTCTGGCACTTCGCCCTGTCTCGTCAGTTGCTGCAGGGGTGATCCTTCCACGGGTGTGAGGAATCGGCATGGTCATTGCTCGTTCTGTGTCCCCTCCTCTGCACAGCCAATCTCCGCACAACCGCATGACAGAGAGAGTTGTCGTTGATGGTGTGAATGCACGCAAATACGTGCATGGCCCGTTGCCGATCAGTAGCGGAGTGGCAGTGCGTGATCTTCGAACACGGTCTGTGGTCGATCACCATCACTGCAGCAGCTCCCGTCCGATTTACATCTTCGCCACGAACGGCGTGGATGACAGCGGCCGGCAGTCTCGTCGTGTTTGTGTGCTGTTGGTGGTGTTGTTTTTATTCTTCGCCCTGGCTGCAGCGGTGCTGTTGGCGGTGATTCTGTGCGGACTGCTCCTATTGTTGGCCGTGTTCACACTGCGTGCGTAGGAACACGTTCTTGCGCAAACAGGTGTGCATACAATCGTTATCACTCTCCGGGTTGGGGGGAAGATAGGACCTTTACGTACTTCTGCCGTTGTGATGGACTCGTCAAGGTGGAGGATGGATCCGAATGCCGGTCGGGAATGTGGTTTTCACGTGGCAGTTGTTCGTGCACAAGCACGTGTCGCATATGGTTCCTCCCCATCTGCAGGTATGCTGCCGTTCGTCGAGGGAGCCGTCGACGGAACGCGGGGGCAGGCCATGGGAGTTCCTTCGGGACCGGCCGTGTCGATGCCGCGCATGCACTCGACGATCGCACGTCCTCGATTTCCTCTTCGGCCTGCACCGCAGAGTCGGGCGCAGACGATGTCTGCTGGGGCAGGCTATGGTTCGTTCAGCACACAACTTGCTGGCGGATATGCACCAACGGGTGTGCAATCCATGCCCTCCGGAACGCCGTTTGCCATTTCTGGTCAGGGGTTCCCTGCATCTCAGGCCATGGATGGTAGATATCCTTGCGGAGCAGAGCCACCATGGACGCCTCGGTGCGGGCAAAGCAGTCAGCCGACGTGCGGGTAAAGCAGTACACCGTTTCGTGGGGAAATATTGACCCCTTCCCCCTTGTCATGCACACGCACTCCGAGTGACCAGTCACCGTCCATGGTCGACATCGATAGCGATGACAACGGTGATGTGCGGGCGAATACAACTGGCTGGAAGCCTGGACGAGTTGGCGATGGCGAGGGCACCTGGCATGATGAAACGGGCAGGTCCAGTTATGGGGCAGATGAAGGAGACGACGAGGATGGCATTTCGCCACCACCGGGGGAGATGAACGACGAAGATTCTGGTCGTCGTGCGGAGGTGGCAGACGAAGGGCGTCCAGGTGGTGATGTGAATGCGGCGAAGGGAAATCAGCAGAAGCGTCGTGCTGGGCGACCTCCGACTACCGATCCCAAACCGAAGGTGCCATGGACGTTGGACGAGAGGATCCATCTCGCCAGGATGATGCAAGAGGATGACGCCCTCATGGCGGATGCCAACGGCACACACCGCATGATGCCGATGAAGGATCGGTACGCATGGGTGCACGCACGGATGAAGAAGGTCGGGTACATGCACAGGACCGCAGAGGATTGCCGAAAGAAGTGGTTCAACATGATGACAACGGCGAAGCTATTCCTGGACAAGCAGGAGAAGAAGTAGGGGGAGCCATTGTATTTCGACATATCCATTGAGCAGCGGAGGGAAAGGAAACTGCCGCTATGCTTCGAGAAGGCGTTGTGGGACGCCATGACGTGGAAACTTGATCGACCCTCCATGCAATGCGACAATACTATGGCATCGGAGTCGCTACAGGGGAAACGACAAGAACCGTCACTGATTTCCGGATCCGATGGAATAGGGACGGAGGACTCCGACAGCTCGGCCAAAACACGCAGAACAAGGACTGACAAAGCGAGGTTTGATGAAGGCGGGTCAGGCGGATCGTCTCTGAGAAGAGTCATGGAAGAGTCCATGAAATCATATTGTGACGGCCTTGACAATGCGGCGTCCGCCGTGGCGAGAGCGACAAGCGGAGCGGGCACGACAATAGCAGTGAAGATAGGGGATGTAGCCGATGCAATGCGGGGGGGGAATTTTGTCCTTGAGCTGTTGGTGGGGGTTCTCGCCAGGCGGGGGGGGGGGGGGGGGGGGCAGCTTCACTGCCGGGGACACCGACACCTCCTCCCGATGATATATATATATATATAAGTCGGTGAAACTCCGACGAAACAGTTTGTCACAGCCCCTCGTTTGTTGTCCTCTTCTCTCTCTCTGCCTACGGTTTTACCGGGCAGTTCTGTTTG